TAGCCACTCGGCCCTTTGCGGCCCACAGTAACCCCGCTTTATTTTCCCTTTCATAACAGCTGTTTCACAGAGCTGGTTTTCCACTCTGCTAGGTGAGAGGTCTGTTAGAGGCAGCGCTTGTGAAAAAAGACCTTTTGTGTCCAATGATTGCCTGACATAGTTGTTGTGTGTGTTAGCTGTGCACTGTATGTGTGTATGTGTGTGTGTGTGTGTGTGTGTGTGTGTGTCAGTGAGAAAAAGAACCTGAAGGAAAATGGAAAGCTATGAGTTTTTAGTGTTGTCTTGTCATTGTAACGTTTACATTTAAACCTGTGAGTAAAATGTTATTGCATTTTTAGTTCATTAAAAATGTAGGTGACACAACTGTATTTATACTTACACAGTATTTTATGCATATATGCATTTTTGTGCAGTTTATATGATACAGCTGCAGAGCATTTTTACGTACTCTATTTATACGTACAATCCATGACAGTGCTGTGGCAGGTAGAACAATAGAGGACACATCACACGCACTCACACACACACACAGCACTGACCACATCACAGCCAGTAGCTCCCTCTGTTGTCCACTGCTGAACTGCATGGAGCAGGGCTGTCCTAACGCAGAGCTGCCAGTCTGCCTCCGACTTCCCACTGAGAAGCAATACACGAGCACTGCAGTCCTCTCACATGATCACACACACACACACACGCGCACACACAGCTTCCCACAGAGTGTGTTACTAAACACATCAGTCCTCTACCACACTCATCTTTCATAACTCTTGGAGGCTTATGTGTATCTGTGCTTACATTAATGTGCTGTGGTTTTCTGTATGGTTCTTTATTCATATACTGTTCCCCTCTTGATAAGCATGAAGTAAAGTCCTGTCAATATGCAATGAAATTCACCTCCAAAACCCTTTAAACAGGACTGAAATTAATGTTATTTATACCTGACATTTTTCTTTTGATTCAAATGCTTTATATATTTGACTTTTGAAAAATGTTTAAATATTTTGATGATGATATGAAAATTGTGGGCCAGTGCCAGTATCTGATATTGTTCTTGTATATATCTGCCTGTGCTGATATTGATGCCCGTATGTAAACATTTTATGAAATATGGAAATTGGCACTAGAGCCTCCTGGATTAGCATTCTGCATAAATATAGCATTTATTTCTATAGGGTTACAACTGCAGTAAAATGAATAAAATAAAAAAATATTTTAGCACAGTTGCCCAGTGTCAGCTGAACGGTCAGGTCTTTTGGAGTACAGTAAGTATGTTTGAAATACTGGTCAAATCTGAGCATCTGTCTGATGCCGATATTTTTATTTTTTTGCTGATATCTGTCAATGCCAATATGATTCAGCTATCATTGTGCATCCCTAATATTTATTGTTTAAACTAAGCATTGTCTGTTCTCATTGATTTAATACTGTCGTCAGAAGAAGAGGCCCCTGTGTTTCTATGTGAACAGTGCAGATTGGAATGGTTCTGAATAAGTGGCCTGCCTCTAGAATTTATTAAGGCCCAATTTTGACAAGTTGATTTTAAACAACTCCAGCGGCGGCCGCATTGACTGCGTGCTTGGCGGCCGAGCTGGCTGACATGTGACCTGTGTGAACTTGCCCTCCCCTATTGACTGCCGTGATTGATGCTCCGCCGAGCTAGCCCTGATAATTCTTAGCCGCGTGTCAACAGCCAGTGACCAAAGGGGTCATCACTTGTCTTTAACATTTCACACACACAAATACAACCGCACACAAGCTCTCGCCACCGATGTGCACACACACACACACATACACATACACACACACACACACACACACACACACACACACAGACAGACGTAGACGTAGAGGCTTGCATACAAACAAAAGAGGCCAGCTCGAGTTAACAACAATTTTGAGGCTGTGCGTTAGTTGTGTTGTCTTTTTACGCTTTTTTTCAGTATTAGCTCAAGTCTTTTGTCTGCCAGCTCTTGAATTGAATATCTGCCTATCTCTGCAGGGAGATCGTGCCTCACTTTTGGAGGCGAAGCAAGACGAAACTCGGCGGATGTAAAACACACACGGCAGCGAGCCGTGGAACAATGGAGGAAGGAGCTGTGTGAAAACTGCTAATGGAAACGAGAGGCAGCTATTGACACATATCGACAGTCGGGGCAATCAGCCCGGCCTGGCCGTGCATACTTAAGTTTAAATGTATTCAGCAAGGCTGCAGGGATTAAAGCCTATTAATGACAGCCTGTAGCAAGAAGCCTGCCTCAACAGTCTTTCAGCTGCCTTTTTTTCTTGAATGACTTTATGCTAAGGGGAGAATGTTAGCTTAGCATAGGGAAGAGTTGGCTATGCTAGGCCTGAAATAACATGATCTGATGTCTTTGCTGGTATTAGCTGTGGCCGTATTGATGTAGTGACTCGTGGGATAGGATTTGTGCTTTTTTTTGTTTTGGGGCTACTGATAGACGGGCTTAGGAGGCGGGGAGGTCCTGTTCTTCTTGATCACAGTCCCAAGGGGTCTCTTCTGTAGCAGTAAGTCCACTCCATCTCTGTTCAAATCACTGAGAATTAACACCTCTGAAACTTTTTTGAGATTCTTTTTCTACTCAGTCCTGACAGACTGAACTTTCTCTTCAGCTTCTCTTGGCGATAGAATTTCGAGGAAAGACATTTGCAGCATGGCGGAAAATTCACATTCAGCTCCTTCTAGTCCCTCCCAAGCTGTGTAAATTAAAACGTTTGTTTCTTCTTCTTCCCTCCATTCTAGTGTGTATCTGAGCTCTGAGAGCAGCAGCCGATTATGCACTGTGTGTCTGAGCACGCGCCCGCCGTTTGATCCACGCACATCTTAATATGAGGAATGTTTGTTGGTCCCGAGGGATCTCTCAGAACGCAGGTATCCCTCCTCTTGCCTTTCAGGCGTTTGCGTGCTCGTTGTTTCTCTCCAAATCGCTCGTCTTCCCCGATTCAGTGTTGACACCGTGTAATTAAAAACATAGTTAGAAAATGTGGTGCCATTCTTTTAGTCTGGGAGGCTTTGAATCTGAGCTTTAGTATTTTTTTGATCAGTGGTCTTATTTTTGTGATGCTAAGGAGGAGTTTACATTGTTTAAAAGCAACCACATGAATACATCAGGGAAAGTTTCTAAAGAAGTTAAGGAATCAAAATACGCACTTTGTGTTAAAACGCCTTTGTTAGACTCACTGTGTCCTTCAGCAATGGCAGAGTCCATGTGCTTTCACATTTCATTCCAGGAAACAACCTAATTTCTTCATAATTTATAAATACTATATCTTTTGATTGCAGTTTTTTTTAATGACTACATTTGGTTTAAAAACTTTCTTGCCTCTCTGTTTTGTGTTCCATCTCTTATTATAAAAGCTTGTTCACCCATTTTATGAATACACTAATGTGGCGCATGTGAAGATTATATTCTCTGATGCAGTCTAGTAAAAAAAAGCTTCTTTTAAAGCTTTTTAGCTTTTTGTCTTTCAATGAATGGGTTGCGTTTATTTGCGAGTCGTTCGTATGAATGCGTCTCTGTATATCTGCGCTTAGACCACCAAGTACAATATGTATCAGTAATTACATGTAATTACAAAATCCAGATCATCACTAATGGTCTGCCTTTTTAAATCAGATGATGCCTGTCTCTGATATAGTCATCTTTAATTGATATAAAGTTCAGTCTGAAGACAAATGATGTGCATGGCTCTCCCTTGACTATGTTAATGTGACTACAGAAGATGCTTGGTTTTCTAAATTCTCTTTGATAGGATCTCAGTGGGCTTATTTGGGCCTTTGTGTAAACAAATTCCCAGCTAGCCCTGCAAGTTTTACTGCTATGTGGTCTGTTCTAAGGCATAGCAAGGTGTATTTTTTGGTGAGACATGGGGGCTCAAATCTGCAGCAAGTTTTTGGAATACAAAAGGCCGGCCAGAGACGATTTGGGCGGCGGCGTGGTGGGGCAGACACAATAGTTAGCTGGCCGCTGCGGCTCCTGAATTTTCTTATCAGTGGGGAATTGTGCTGCGCTGAGAGCCCAGCAATATCTTCCCTGCTGCTGCTGGAAATGCGGCAAGCATGGTGACACACACACACACTCGCGCGCACACGCAAACACACATATACACGCTCAGGAACAGAGAGGTGCGCAAATGTGGCCCAATCATTCTGAAACAAAGGGGAGTCTTTGATCTTTTCTCACGGAACCCCCCCATCTCCGTGAATGATACACCCACTGTAGTGTTGGTCCAACCCAGAAGGCTCCTCTTCCATATGTGTTATAGTGTGGAGGACTTTTTTGCCAGCATTTCTCAACTTATGCCAAGACAAGTTGGGGAAAGTCTTTTGCACGGTCTCCCTCGCTCCAGGGCTCGTGTAAACACATTTATAGAAGTCAGTTAGCCCAGTATTTGCACTTGCCACGGTTCAGAGCTTAATAAAAGTGCTTGTTCTTTCAGTTCTCTGTGTGGACCTACTGGTGTGGGATCTTACTCGTGCGGGACAAAAGGAGCTATGGAGGGAGGTGCGGGAGAAAAAGAGCAAACACATTGCTAGCAGGACAAAGCTTCATTTACAGTGTTTTGTATCAACAAAGTGAGCGGCTTTATCTCTGCGCTTGACAGCGTGAGCCGATAAGCAGTGCTGTAGGAGAGACATGCGCTGCCTCTTTAAATCCCTCTCTCTCTCTCTCTCTCTCTCTCTTGTTATACCTCCCTCTCTCCCCCCTCCTTCTTTCTATCTCTCTTTCTTTCTCTCTCACTCACTCTCACTCTCACTCTCTCTTTCCCCCTCCCTTCTTTCTCACTGGCTCTCCCTGGTTTGTCCCCTCCCTTTCTCCCTCCGCTCAGTCTCTCCTCTCGCGCAGACAACGCCTTGTCTGGCTCCAATTGGCTGCGAAGGCACCAATCTGGCGCCAGGAAGGGCCGGGGGGACTGCATATGCAAAGCCTCGCTTCATATTAATGAGCAGCAATCGTGGCTTTAAGTCCTTGATTAGAAGAGTGCAAGAGCTTTTGGTCCCAACTGGCTGTGCCTATAGGCTTGTCACCGGGAGAACGCTTTCTGTTAATTGCACTGCTCAAGTGACGGGACGGTGAGAGGAGGAGAGAGAGAGAGAGACAGAGAGAGAGAGGCAGAGTAAAAAAAAAAACAACTTTGATTTATAGAAGGGGTTGCTCAAATGATGGTCGCAGAGCGCAAATGGAGTCGGTAGAACTTTCACTCCCCGAGTGTTTCTCTTTACACTCTGAACAAGAGTAGGTAAATTTTACAATTTTTTCCATTTCTCTACTTCTACCTGTGACTGCCTGACTTGTGTATGTGTTTGTGGGTCGTGCTTGTGCTAGTCGAATGCGTGTGTGTCTGTTACAAACAGTTTGCATGTTTTTTTGTATGGTACCTGCAGTATATGTCTTTTATTGAGGAACTGACCACTAGCGTGTAGGGGGTAGCTGTCACTGCGGTCACCGTCAGGTAGTGTCTGAAGCCGCGCCATGCTTGTATACGCGCGAGTGTGGATGGCTGAGTGCTGGTGCGCGGCTGTAGGTGCACTCGTCTACTGTTAGTGCTTACCTGTACCTTAGGCTTAGCTAAGCGCTCTTTCATGCCCTGTCTCAAAACCTACCTGACCAGTGTTTCTTTAACAGTCAGCATAAGTAGCAGAAAACAAAACAAAAAAAAAAAATAGGTCAGTGAAATAATCGTTTAGCGGGACGCTGTTCGAGAGAGGGTGCAAAGGAAGCAAGGGACAGCGAGAAGAAGGAGAGAGAAGCAGAAAAAGTGGTCTTAGAGCAGGAGAGGTTGAATTGCAGACCGGCCGCTCTGCATGTGGTCCACCGGAGGCATTAAAGACGGCGTGCGAGAGAAAGTGGTAGAGAGAAAGCGAGAGAGAGAGGGGGACAGAGAGTGGAGGACAGACGGGGAGGGGGGGCAGAAGTGGCCCTGCGCTTCAGCTCCGTCTCGCTCTCTCTCTCCGCTGTCAGAACGGCGGGAGGAAGCCCTGATAAAGTGCTCTATAAATCAGTCCGAGCTGAAGGGCTTGCGCCGCTTCCTTGAAGTATTTTTTTCAATCACATTTTTTATTGTAAATTGACCATGTTAATTCCTTTCTTCCCATTGTTGGCTGTGCCAGCCTTGAGAAATGTTGAAACTTTAGAAATCTGTCTGATCTTTATATATTTACATTGTACTTTTCTTTTTACTCAAGTGAGTATTCTTAATTTGGTTATTTTACAGAGGTTCTAATTTAGTTCTCTGTTGTGTAGAATTTCACAGCAAGTTTTTTAAAACGAAAAGTCACACCGTAGCCTATACCTGGCGTAGATACCGTCATCAGATAGAATGTCCATTGTTTTATGCCTTGAACATTTCAGGCCAAAAGAAAAATGACAGCAAGCAAGACGAGCGGCGGTGATGATTTAACGTCGTTCTAACTATTAACCTCTGGCCTGGGTTACAATGGAATACTGATAAGATGCTGCGAGCAAAGCCGCTGTGGTCATCCAGCGCATGAAACTGAGACATACATGCGGGCCAGTCACCCGTGTGTCCAGCTTGTGTGTTGCCCAAGCAAGACCAGAAGACTTATCAAGATTATCATAGGTGCAGCCTGTTATTAAAAGATTTCACTTTATATAGAAACGTTTGAGCCTGTAGGCATAAATGAAGGGTAGGAATAATAATGTAATAACTAATAATGCAGATGTTGTTTGGATCAGTGAACCCTTGGCTCAGGGGTCTGTGGGAGAGTAAGTTGTGGGATCCAACTAGAACAGCTTGGCTGCGTTTTACCTTCGGCATGCTCATTAGACTGACTGGATTAAGGCTTATGAAAGTAAATGCGGAGATAAGAACATCGCTTTTCCACAGCTTGTTTTTTTTTCTTTTCCTCATTTGGTGCTTACTCACCGTTTGATCTTTCCTTTTAATACAAATTAACTGGTGATATTCTAATTAGTGTATTAATGGTGGCAATAACAACAAGTGGCGGTTTAGCTATTATCATAATTACACGCGCTTACTGCCCTGCATGTACATTTCATTTGCATGCTCGTTTTAATATTTATGCACACGTTTCCAAATGAGGTTTGGGAAAGATTCAATATTTCAAAAGCAGATTTCACACCCCCTTTTTTTTGGTACGCGTATTTGTGTTTCAGTTTATTTGCTGGAAAATGTGATTTAATTTTGCTAAAATAGTTCATTAGTTTTAAGATCTGCATTTATATATTTTTGTCATACTTTTTTGTCTATTTTTTTAAATCTGGCTGTACATTTTCAGACATTTGTGAAATGTGTGAAATTTTTGCTACGTCTTTTTATTCACAAAACACGAGTTTAAATTAGAGGAAGTACATCATCGTGTGAATACAAACAAACAGTGTTTATTTGATGTTTTTATGACTGTAGCATATCTATATGAGTAGTAATAATTTATTCAATTTATTTCAGTTGTTTTACATTTTTCTACAAATCCTCCACAGCTGTCTGAATAAATGTATAAAAAAATAAATAAATTGTAGAGTAATTTTGAGTATAGTACAAATCTTGTTTATTCTTTTTTCCATAAATTTCTCAAGATTGAAAATCTGCATTTAGGCCAGGTTTACAAGGCAAAAATCAAGTGACAGCGTCCACCAGAAAAGCGGCAATCGGGGATGTTCTGTCTTTGATGCTCAGATCACCTAAACTGTACCTGGTGTCTTCATGATCGCTCAAGCATGTACAACCTTTTGTTGCTTGATGGTGAATTTTCAGACAGCGCAGACCAGCGGTGGCCCTTGAAGAAAATGTGATGATTTTGAGCTTATTTCCACCTTTTCTCCCTCTCGTTCTTGCTCCATATGAGAGGAAAGAGGGTGAAAAGCCCCAGAGGCAGGGATCAGAGAGGAATAAAGGGAGATTGCGTAAATTAAATTCCTTTTAATCTCCTTATGAAATCATTTACTTAATTTGTCTGTCAAATGATGTCAATATGCACACCACTGATTTATTTATTCAGTCCCCCCTCTCTCTCACTCTGTCCCTCTCTCTCTCTCTCTCTCGTGTGTGTGTGTGTGTGTGTGTGTGTGTGTGTGTGTTACCAGCATTGTTGCTTTTGAGCTCTGATTCGGGGCTCTCTCTCAGTCCCCTGTGTGAGAGGTGTCATGGTTTGTCGTCCGTGTGTGTGTCTGTCTGTCTCTGTGGCCTCTTGTCGATTTCTGTCTGGACACTCTTTTGTCTTTACGCTGTCCTGCTTATAGAAGACAGAGCTCTGCCACTTCCCCTTGTTTGAAGGGGTCTGAGGCATTCCAAGGGTAATTAACTCGAGTTAAAAGAGACAGAATGCCACCCCACACCCCCACCACCCCCCTCGTCCACCGGGATGTCTTTCAGGAGAAAAGAAGGGATGAGAGGGCAGTAAAGAAAAGAGGGGAGGTATATTTCTTGCCTTTTGTTCGAAAGGTGCAATAAGTGGCCTCTTGGAGTTGTGTGAGCGCACACATGTACATGTAAAGCAGCCGCGAAAAAGTCACATGCAGGTGCTGCACGCTTACACAGCTGTAGCATGGAGGGGGAAAAAGGGAGCAAGGGCAGATGGCACGATCGTCAATTTGTGTGATTCATGCTCAATCCATCTTTTTTCTAGTCTGAACAGAACCACCTTTTTTTAAAGAAAGATTTTTTTAAAGAAAGCCCACACCAGCTAAAGTTCACCCTTCATGCTGTAATTAGCAATCAGCTGTTACAGCCCTCGCCTTATATTAGAAATATCTGACTATTTGAAAGAGATTTTTTTCTTTCCCCCACTTTCCGTTTCCCTGCTCCCTGCAGATCTCCTCTCTTTCATCCATCCATCTCTTATTCTCTTCTGACCTGTTTTATTTATTTATTTGTTTATTTATTTATTTATTTAATTATGCCTACATACAGTTTCCTTTGCTATACATTGAAGAAATAGGGAGAGGGTGAATTGGACTTTGTAGTGTGGGACGATTAAGTTACAGGAGGTCAATAGAGACTGTGGTCAGTTCTTAAGCAGGAGGGGGCAGTTGGGTCAGATAAGCGTGTAAAAATAGGGCTTTCAGTCAGCGCGTTCCCTGAGGCCGGCTCTGGACGTTCAGGTTCAGAGGCAGGTTTTGTAATTATTTCTCTGTCGTGCTAAAAGACCGTGTTTGTGAAACGGTACCAGCTTTATTAGCTTTATTATATGCTTGTTTTTGGTTGAAGCAGAATTGCTTGGCTAGTCCCTTGTGGCTGGAATATCAGGGCTTTTAATCGTGTACTATCATGCTGACACATACGTACATGTGGAATTTCTCCTAAGTGACGTTTGTCAGCGCAACTGCTCCCTGTACATGAGAGTGTACGTGCACTTCTTCATACCAGAGAGAAGCTTCTGGAGCTAGAATCTGGATCTTAACCATTGGATTTGGGCAGATTCTGATATTTCTTTTTTACCTCCACTGCTCTTGTATTAAATGATGAAATTGTCATTGTCCTGTAGCAGAGAAAGGGAAATGAATGGCCATGTGGGCTGGCGGCTGACAGTGAAATATTTCGCCTCTTTCCCCTATCATACTTCATTTGTGTGCATGTGCGTGTGTGCGCCAGTGAGAGGGGGAGAATGTGCGTGCTGAGTGGAGAATGACAGGCTGGATGTTCACCGCGTTATGACCAAATCTGCTTCCTACTCTTGCAGTGGGACAGCAAGATGTATTTAGATCTCCTTTTTCCCTCACCGAGCCCACCTCACACGCTCTGCACCTCCTGTCCATCTATCCATGCCTTTCTTTCTCAGTCCTCCTTTATCTGCGGTTTTTAATGGTTGTATTTAAAGTAATAGGCACAGAAGTATGAAAGTTTATCTGGGATTTTATTTAAATTGCATGCAGTGACTTGAATAATTTTGAGTTAAGTTTTAGAATGTATGCGAGTTCGGTGGCCACTTGCTTTAAACATCTTCAGAATTTGTTTAAAGCTGTACTCTTAAATTTAAACATTGCAAACTGCTGCATGTTAAACAGATGGTCTAAAACTCAATTTAAAATTATGGATTTTTTCACTTTCCACCAAAGAGTTTTTACACAGCCCATGTAAAGAAAAACCTAAGGCTAAAATTTACAGATGTTTTATGCAAGTGATTGCTGGTGTACAGTATTTAAGTGTGAGGCAATAGAGAAGCTACATGTCGCTGTTGTCCGAAGAAAACCTCTCCAAAATGGTAACTTAACAGGAGGAAAAAACCTACTTTACTTTTAATTTCAGTCAATGGAAC